TATTGGGTTTAGCAATTGAGAAACAAGGTGATAACATGGTTGCTTTATGTCCTAAGTGTTATACTTCATTCAACGGTTCAATTGATGGAAGTGATTTTAAAAAGATTGCACAAAAAATGAAGGGTGTTAGTTTACGACAAAATAAACAATTAACACCTAAAAATTATTTGGATATAATAAATGATAAAGTTATTTTCGATGGTCAGAATATTAATTTACAACTTAAAAACGGGTCAATGACTCGCTTAACAATCGGTAAGACTGCATTAACAGGAGCACACACTAAGGCTGTATGTTGTGAAAATGGATGTTGTATGCCATTTATTTAATAAAATGCCACAGAAGAGACAAAAGGAACCGTAAATAATGGTTGTGATTCTTGATCAAAGAGGTGAGCACCCTTAAACATTTATTTTATTTTTATATAAATGAATAGCGTAGATTTAAAAATTTTAATTGATGATTTAGTACTTAATCAAAATTTTCTTAATTATTATGAATTAAAATCATATCTCCAAAAACATGATAACAATATAACGGGTGATGATATGGATTATTATTATTCGTATTATAAAAATGAAGTTTTGAAATATCATGATAAAATAATTTCTAAAATTAAAGACAAAATTAAAAATAATGAATATTCAAAGGGAAAAAGTAAATCACAACTTAAACAATTGAAAGATTTCAAAAATAAAGTATTAACAGAAGAAGATATTGATGAATTATATAAATTATATAAATTATATAATCCTGAGCCGCAAAAAACAAAGGTGCAAAACGCCCAGGTCATTCAGACCATAAATGAAGCACAAGCTTTAATTTATGATTCATTAGTTAAACCATATTCAGCCCGACTTTTAAATGAAGATCAACTTTTGGAATTCATCCTTCAACATAAACTCGAAGCGGGAAAGTATATCAAACCTTTATATACAGCATATTTAAAACAAATGAATAGAATACATCCAGAATTAATGAAGGGGGGAATGAAATCCAAAATCAAAGCAGATAAAATTAAACCACCTGCAACACCAAACCCTCCAACGACAGTACCGCCTCCTCCTTCAGTTAATCCTTCATCATTCACTTTATTATATCCATTTCAAACATTTAAGAAGCAAAAAGATTTTAAAAAGGATTTCAAGATATTAAATAAACCAATTGACCCAAAAATTCAACCGTTAAAGGAAAAATTTAGTCGCCCTTCATTTGCACCATATCCATATTCATACGAAATCGATCATTTAGAATATTCAAGAGGAAACGTTACTTATTTATTTGCCATTAACATTAACACCAGATATTTATATTGCATTCCGGTGAAAGGGAAAACAGAACAGGAAACAAGAAGAGCTATTCAATACTTACTAGATCATGAAAGAGTAGATAATATAAGGGGTGATGGTGATAAAGGATTTCAGGCAGCTATGACTCATTATTTCCCACAAATTAATTTTTACTTTTCATCCTCTCCATATACGTTTCATAATAAAATAGTTGATGCGGTAATGAGAACTCTTAGAGATGCGTTAGGGTTAACGGTCAGATATACTGGGATGGAAATCATGACTCCATCATACAACAGTTAGTATATTATTACAATAATACATGGCATAGAACAATAAACATGAAACCAGTGGAAATGAAAAATGATATTTCAAAAGAATGGGAATATATTAGAAAGCAAATGGAAAGGTTGAATGATGTTAAACGTGAACAAATTAATTCAGGGCTCAATGAATTTTAAACAAGGAAATAAGTTTTAATTCATCTCGATTATGGAAAACTGATAAATTAATGACAAAAAGAAGACGAAGATTTGACACAATAGCTGAATTTGTTAGATATTTAACGGCAATGCATTAGTTGAAGTTTAACAATAAATTAATAGAAATTCCGATTTATTTTATTACTCATTATATTTAAATAATATTTAATTTTTTTTATTTCGTAAGAATGAGTGACAACGAAGCAGTCAAGAGTCCAGACGATGAATATAAAAAGAAACTAAACGAATTAAATCAAAAATATGCTATTACAAAAAGAAGCCACAATGCGGTGGGTTGAAAACGATAAAGAGAGGAAAGAAATAATCGAAAAATTAGAAACTTACCGTTCAATCCTTAAACTGAGTGAAGCAAAAATAAAGAATTTAATAGAATAAATAAATTGATTGGAAGAGATGAATTTAATAAGATGAATTTTTAAACTCAATCCAATTTAATTTTTTTCCTCTTCGACAACATCTCTCTTTCCATCATTACTGCATAACATTTTCTCAATTTTAGTGGTTTGTTATTTTTAACATGTTCTTGCATCATTTTTATCATTTCCTCCCTTGTTATGATTCGTGGTAAATTTTGAGCTTGTGGGGATTCATTTATGATAAAAATAAAATTTGTTATCACTTATTTTATCGTGAATGTTTTAGGTTATTCAATAATTAATTAATTATTGAAGAACTGAAGTGCTACCATGTACCATGTGCTACCAGGTCATTTAACTTCTCTGAAAAAATGAGACACATGACATTTTTGACAAACAGTTCAGGAGGAAGGTAGTTATGAATTAATTATTGAAGAACTGAAGGTGCTACCATGTTACCATGTGCTACCAGGTCATTTAACTTCTGAAAAAATGAGACAACATGACATTTGACAACAGTTCAGGAGGAAGGTAGTTATGAATTAATTATTGAAGAACTGAAGGTGCTACCATGTTACCATGTGCTACCAGGTCATTTAACTTCTCTGAAAAAATGAGACAACATGACATTTTGACAACAGTACAGGAAAATATGATGCAGTCCAAAAATAAAGTTAGTTTTAAAATTATTTTTATTTTTTTATTCCTATATAAATGACAGCAACAAACAACAACAGCAACTATATCGTTTCTGATGAAAAATTGATTCATTAGCTGAGGAATTAGTTGTGGCAGAAACTAAAACCCTCACGAAAGAATTGGTGAAAACAGGATTGATTTACATAACTACTCAAACATGATGGAGGAAGAGGAAGGAAAACTGGTATGGCTTTATTAGTAAATAAAATATCAAATTTAACGATTATTGTTGATATCAATAAATCGTACAATGATGAACTTAAAGAAACAGTTAGAAAAGACATTTTATCAAAACTTTCGGATAAAGATGTTATCGTTAAAACCGCTTCAGGAGGTCTTCACATTTATTGTAACACTAATTTCTTCTATGCAGTTTCGAACAGAATGATTAAATGCATACTTTACAGAGCACCATTCAGCAACAAAATGAACGAGGTCAGCATGTATGTAAATACCTTTGAATTCATTCATAACGCCCTTTGTAAGCTCATAAAATGCTTGTTTTGAGGTCGAGCCACTTTTGGCTCCACCGTATTCGTTCATCCAAAACTCAAGAATTTCCTGCATTTTAGTACTATTGAGAAATCTGTTTAAATGGTTTAACCTTCCCGCTTCTCTTGCCATCTTTGTTGCATTAATGTAACCATCCTTGTCTCTACGTAAGACTTCAATACCATTATAAGTGCTTTTGTGAATGTTTCGCCATTAGATTTGTTCGTGAACGTCTGTGCTTCGACCGACATTACTGTTCTTACATACAAAATAAAAAATAAAATAAAAATAATTTTAAAACTAATGAAATTAATTATTTTTGGACTGAATTCATTGAACTCTATACCATGCGAATACAGTCATAAATGGTGGCATGTAATCTTTACTTTGTCCCGTTGTTTGTGTATATCCTGAAACGCGATGTGTATGGTTTCCTTCTCCCTGAGTGTCACTCCAGTAACAATTTATGGCAAATTTAACATCATCTTTAACATCATATCCTTTACCTTTTGTCATTCCTGACCAATCCCAATATCTATGCTTATGCCAACCTGCTTGAGATGTGCTTAAATCTATGTAGTGACTGTGTGCAGGTAAATTTTCACCCGTAATTGTTTTACTTCCCCCTGTTTCCTTTGAAGAGTTTGCACAATACAAAAACCTGTCGACTATTTGTTCCCATGCACCAACACCAAACATTGCTTGAGGACCTCTCACATCCATAGATGTATAAATAGAACCTACTGGGTTCATTAAATCAAACATATGAGATATTATAGGATTGTCTCTTTTGAACTTAAAATATAGTGTAACTATTTCGGGTTTCTTCTGGTTTGTGTCAGAATATTTTTTATAATATAATCTTATGTTTTCAGGGTATGTAAAATCTTGACTATAATATTTATTTTTGTCATCTTCATAATAGTATACTATTCTCGTTTTTTCTATTGCATTATATCTTTTATATCTATAATAATCTAAATATAATGTTTGCTTTTTTGGGTCTACATGTGCGTCAACACCATAGTCATAATAATACGGTGCTGGAGCTACGTTAGACAATGTCATATCCGTCATTTCATAAACTCTTAAATATTTCTTTTGTTCGTCTCCATATAAGTTTAAGTAGCAGTTGTTGTCTAATGGAACTTTAACTTGTGTGCCATTATTCTTTATATAGCCTACATACATTTCATTGTTATTTTTCGGAATGAGTTTATACCGTATACCATTTCTTAAGGACTGTACAAACTCCCATCTAAAATATTTGTTTTCTTCATTGACAGAAAAGTCGCCAACAATAGTTTCAATATTTTTTGTTCCAACTAAACTTTGGTATATTTCGTTAACAAATGATATATCTGCTTTCTTTGCTAACTCATCGTTAACAAATTATATCTGCTTCTTTGCTAACTCATCGTTAACATATTTTATCTGCTTTCTTTGCTAACTCATCGTTAACATGATATATCTGCTTTCTTCCCTAACTCATTGTTAACATAAGTTTATCTGCTTTAAGGTCTAAACATTCTGAAACCCATCCTGTATCAGCTTTAGTTTTAAGAATCTTCGATGTCCGTTCATGATACCATTCAACCCTTTCTATAATTTCATTATCTTTTTCATTAACATATTCCTTATCTGCCTTCTTCATTAATTCACTAGCACAAGTCCTTATCTGCCTTCTTTGCTAACTCATCGTTAACATAAGTTTTATCTGCTTTCTTTGCTAACTCATCGTTAACATAAGTTTTATCTGCTTTCTTTGCTAACTCATCGTTAACATAAGTTTTATCTGCTTTCTTTGCTAACTCATCGTTAACAAATGATATATCTGCTTTCTTTGCTAACTCATCGTTAACATATTCCTTATCTGCTTTCTTCATTATGTCATTTAGGAAACCTTTTATGAATTCCTCATTTAAATTAAATCTTCCAATCTTCAAAACTTTAGGAAATGCATTTAATGCGTAATATCTTTGTTCTTCTGGTGGAATTGATGTTATATCATCCGTTATTCCTTTAATTTTTGAATTCATAAATAAAATTTCTTTTATATTTGATATCACTGCACCACCTTTGCAAACGAATTCGAAATGGTCATTTTTCAATACTATCTCCAAATCTCCATATTTCAACATTTGCGTTTGTTCTGCCGTCTTTGAATTATATGCATATATGGCGTATGTAATGGTCTGTGGTTGCTGTTGTTTAATCATTTATTACGATTTAAAAATAAATATTTAATCTGTTATCTCATCAGCTATTTTTTCTATTTGAAATTGCCATAATATTTCATTCATAAATTCTAAATCACAATCAAATAGGTCAGTTATTCTAAATTTAATATTTGATAAATCTTTTGAATGAAGAATAAATGAATTCCCGGATAATTGAAACGGATATGATAAAGAAAATATGTTTAAGTTGATGGATAAAATGTTTTGTATTGATGGGTAAGAGTTAGGGTCTAATGTTTGATGTGAAAATCTCATTGGGGTATTAACTTTATCACATTTGATTAAAATGAAATTAGAACCAGTGTCAGAATACAAAACATCCCCAACATCTTTTTCAAAATTTAATATCCCCAACAATGAACGAAGACGAGGAGTACAAAATTTAATTTTCAGCGGAAATTTAATAAGGTTATTTATTTCATCAAGTTCAAAAAGTTTATCAGGTTTTGATTTAAAATTTTCTTCATACCATACGATAAATGATTCATTTAAATAACTTAAAATCATGTTAATATCCCATTTCGTTATCACATTATTTATATACATATCATACGTTTTTAGGTCTACGACCCCGCCGCTATGCGGCTCATGGTCATCTTTAATAAATGATATATAATCTGAAGGGTCTAAAAGAATGGGATTAAATTTACCACTCACAGAAACGAGAGTAACATTATAAATTCCGCTAACTGTTAAATTTAATTCACAGTTATTATTCGAAATAATATTGATAATTGACATTTTTTTATTACGATTAAAAATATGGTAAAGCGTTATTTTCCAGTGATAAATAAAACTAGAATAAGATTACCTCAAGAATTCATAAATTCAACGAATAAGAAATTCATTCATGTTATAAATTTTAGTGTTTTCAGAAAATATGAGTCGATGTCATATTCATCATCAGGTTATATTTCACTTCATTCAAATTTAGTTCAATCAAACCCATATAATGACCATTTCATAAGATTTTCAGATGGTATTAAAAATGTAATTGATAGATTAAAATATGAACAGATTGACAATATCGAATTTTTGGAATTTTGGTTTAAATATCCCGATGGAAAAAAGATTGAAGTTAAAGATAAAGCTGATACTATAACAAAAACAATTACAATGACCGATCCGGATAGTGGGGAACAAAAAGAAATAAAACAAACGATAGAATGTCCATTTCGAGGACTATAAACAAGCAGCTCGAGAAATTTGAAACGTCTTTAGGTCATTTATGTCGACTTCTCCTGCCCAGAATTTATGTCATAGAAAGAATGGGATGTTGTCATCTTAACAAAACCAAGAGCATACTACATAGTCTCAGAACAAATTGTAGACAGAACTTTAAGAAAATAAAGTGTCAAACTACAAGTTGGACATGAAGATGTTAGATCATTGGGATATCTTATTGTTCAAAAGTTAGAAGATCTTTTCAGGTCGAGGTTATAAAGTTCTATACACCTCTCTCCAAAACTTCTATTCTATCTTCACGATATTAAATACGAACAAGTAGAATGGAAAGAAATATATATAGAAGCTTTGGTTAGACACTGTCAAAGAAATCTATATAGCAATGAAACGAAAAGGTGTTATGAGTATATTTATGTCTGGTTTTTGCAAATATTGATTACAACATCCAAGTTGCTAGAAAATGAAAACCGCTCTCCATTATAATTGGGAAAACAAGGAACTGGTAAGAACAATCTTTACAGTGATTATTTGTGCAAACTGTTATGAAGTTATTCGAACTCCTAATATGACAAGACTTAGAACATCCTGCTGGCAAGTTTAAGCCTCCTAATAGAGAATATGAAACTTATTGTTTACATGAACTTCAAAGTATAGATACAACAAAAATTTTAAACTCAGATGCTTTGAAGGTCTCTATAACAGACAAAGTTGGAGTTGTGAAAGAAAAATAAAAGACCAGAAGATTTTGTGAGAAATGTTGCAAACTTCATTATGGGTTTCAAAAACAATGCTGTTTCCGATGAAGTTAGAAGTTCTGACAGAAATATGTAGTTGTCAGACGTCAGATTCTCATATGCAAGATACAGAATATTTTTGACGACTTAGCAGAAATTTTGACATCTGACTTTTACAACCACTTGTTCTCATATTTTATGAATTAGAGATTTCAAAAGTCAGACCAAGACAAATTCTCAATTACGAAGAGAAGACAAACATTAGTTAGAAGCAAACAAGAGTGTATATGAAACTGTTTCATAGATGAAACTGACCTTTGACAGTGTTATAGAGAAGGAGGTCATTGTTCACGTTCGTATAAACAATAATTGTCTGTAAGAATATGGTATATACAGCGTGCTAACGAGACATTCTGGCAAAATGTTCAAAAAGTCTTTTAGATGTTCCAGAATGGTTTGTATATACAGAAGAAAAATTTTTAATGAGGTCAAATTTAAAAAAAAAATATTTTTTATCCGATAGAAAAGATGACGAAAATTCATCCACGTAAAACAAGTACATGTCAGGACTTAAAGAAAGAACTAGACCCATTACATATTTTGAATGGTTACTGCCTCTACCATTTTGAAATCTTCATTCAGCAAGTTTGGAACAATCAGAACCAGGTAAGTTGGCTATTGTGACTAAAAATGGTGACGAAATTTGTACAAGACTTATACATAAAAAGTTGTTAGCATCAAGAAAGTTTGACAGAAAGGTTCTGGTTCTCAAAACCTTAAAGAAGCATAGCATTACTAAACTTGTTAATCTTATGAACCAAAGAAGATAGAAGCTGATGAACTATTATGAGTCCTACGTTTAGAAGTTCAAGGTAAATTGCACCTCACGCTATAAAAGATCTTATAGAGTCTAAGCGGTGTTTTACATCTAAAGACGGAAGAACACTTGACTATTGACCACTGAAACTGTTCTAAAAATAAAATTTATTTTAACATAGTCAAATTTCTTTTTCTCTCGGGAACTGGCTCTGGTTCTTTCTTCTCTTTCTTCTACTTTCTTTCTTTCTTTTCTTCTTCTTTCTCTTTTCTCGTGGAGTTATGTCAAATTCTCCGAACCATAGTTTATGTAAAAGTTGTCTTTTGCCTTTAAAGTACGCTCATCTATGTCTGTTTCTATTTCATCTTCAAGAACAGCGCACAAAGTGTGTCTTCTTGCATATCTAAGCAAACTTTGTGTTTCATCTTTTCTGCAGATCCGGGTGTCATCTCTGTCAAACAAGGGTCTGATTCAATTGACAAATTTAAGGACTGCTCTGCTTAATTGTTATTTATGTCTTGTCATATTCCAGAAACAGCAACTTTAGAACAACCATTCACCTTCTTGTTTACACATGTGTAAGATTTTATGGTCGACAGATTATTTTGCTGTCGAAACGCATAAGACGTTCGATATAGATATGCGAAACTCGCTAAACATTTTCTAAAAGATAAAACATTTTAATTGTTTCTAGCAATCATAGTGTTAAAAAAAAAGAGTTTGGCTGACCATTGACAGAGAACAATGGTTGAGATGTTGTTAAATAAGAACAAGAGAAAGTTTAGAAAATGCTCAAAGATAAAGCCTAACATGGACAAGATATCTATCTGCTCAGATGCGGTTTCTATAACAGGTTCTATATGCACCACCTCGGTCGTAGGTCAATCTATGACTTTCACTGATACTGAAAATGCTGCACAACAACAAGGAACTAGATGAGAAAAACCCTATTCTATAGTTACGTTGTTATTTGTCGACTTCTGTCATTTGACCAAACCCCGTCAATTCGTTTCCAAAGTAGTTATACAAAAGGTCTAAGTTAGTTATGTATAAAGGGCATACTTGGAGTTGATTAGATTGTTAAGAAAAAAGTTACCAAAGAATGGAGGTTTTGAAGTTAATGGCTATATAAATGAGATTATAAGTAAATTCTACAGTTCAAAATCCCTAATGAGGAAATGCATGAGCAATTAGAAGAGATAAAACACTTCAGAAAACAACAACAGAAAGAGATAGGAATACATTTCGAAAGAAAATTCGCAATCTTACGATTGGAAGACATACCCTCATAAGCGGGCTCTTCATATTTTAGCATGAGATTTCGTTCTCATCCTTGCTCCTAGTTAAAGAACAAGAGAACAAGACACCTGTGTCCGAATTCAAGAACGCTCAGACAACTTTAAACACTCAGTTCGTCATTTGTGTTACAGACAGGCAAAAGAGTTTAAAGTAAGATGTTAAAAGCCAATAAGTCTTTACTGACATAGGAATTACTTTTCCCGGATTGTCCGAAGGGGACGATTTCATGGAACGTTATGAAGAAGACGTCCATGGCAGGTAAGGTTTGACAAGACATGAACTATGGTGAGAAGTACAAAGCAATACAAGACCCTCATACTTCTTTCAGAATTTGCATATCTACCAAACAAAGTTCAAATTGTAAAAAGTCAAAGCTTTGAAAAAATGATAAGTGTTTAGTCTTCAGTAAGTCTAGTTGCTGGCGTACGGGCTGCGTTCGGTCTCTGGCCTTTTGGAGCGCATTCAGGAAGAGGATACGTCAGATCGGATCTGTGGGAATTTTTTCCTTGAACGCGGAAATGTGTGTTTCTTGATCGTGTGAAGAAAAACTTTCCTGTCGGAAGGACAAAAACTTTCCTGTCGGAAGGAAAACTTTTCCGTTGTCAGGGACG